CACAACGATGCTGTGCCCTGCCCGAGTTTGAGGTCGTTTAATAGCTTCTGTTATACGGCATTTGCATACCCGGCTGATGTACGTTTCATCTTTGACGCCCGCGCGCGATTGAGAGGAGCTTTGGGGCGATGCGGCCACCCGGCAGGCACACGCGCGCGCGGGCGGAGCACACCAACCGCGCACCACCCGGGTGGTCCATGGAACCAGGCGCCCATTGTGCGCATCGACGGACGACACAACCAATTCCACGCGAGACCCCGGTAGAGCCGTACAGGCCCAAGAACCTGCCCCGGGGTGCCGCGGCCACCCGGGGCGTGACCCGGCACAGGCACACGCGCTCGCAGCCGGGTTGCACCACCCCGCGCACCATTCAAGTGTTCATGGAACCGGGCTCCGTTGTGTGCATCCACGGACGACACATTAATTCCACGCGCAGATTCCGGGGGTGCTGTACACCCCTTAACAACCTGAACCCATAATCTTGTTCCTTCGATCGATGCGGTCCCGAGAGTCGTCCACTAATCGTCTAATACGTCTACTAATCTAATCTAGAATATCCTAATTCTACATAACAACGGATAGCAATCAAAGAGGTCCCGAGAGTGCAGTGAATGGTAGGAAAGGAGCAGACACGGCACCAAACCACGCCCCGACAGACTTCAGTGGTAATGACTGCAGTCAAAGGAGCTTGAACGGTGTTTTCTGACCCTTTTGGCCGTGGTCGTTTTAGATTGCCTTACAAAAATGACTTGCGCCTAACAAATAATGTTTATCTGGGTTTGTAACGTATTTCGTATATGTACAAGAATTTCTGAAGACCAATCCTGTTGAGCGATTTTCAGACTAGTGCTAATCTTATGTGATAACAATAACAAAGTTCAACAACGTCTACTAATCTAATCTAGAATATCCTAATTCTACATAACAACGGATAGCAATCAAAGAAGCATTGCAGCCAACAGACAAAATATTTTCACTTGGTATCACACTCTTCACCTTCTTTTCTTTTTGCCCTTTTCGGCATTCGGATCTATGAGACCGTGGGCAATTTGCCATTCACGAATGACAGCATCTTGATTGTCCTGAGCAGTTGGCGCATACCTTAACAAATGAAAGTGCATTCAACAATATTATCACCGCCTTCTTACTGAACCATCCGTGACCAAGATCATGTCCATCGCCGGGATTCCCTTCAGTTCAGAAGGTGGTCAAAAGTGGTGGTCGTAAACTCATTGGACAAGTCAGGGCGATGTCAAGCCCAACCAAGGGAGGGGCATTTTGTAAACACCTGTGAAGCTACGAAATGTTGCGAGCTTCACTCTCAAACCACATTTTAAACAAATTGAAACAATTAACTCGTGAAGTGCAGTGCACTATTCTGGCTCAGAGTACATCATCCTCTTGGGACCACAACCGTCATTTGCTTTTATAATCAACGGTCAGGAAGAGCTTTCTGCCTAGGTCAGAACGTACAAGGTGGGTAAAGTGGATCCCCATTGCTTTTCTCAGTTGCAGGCAAAATCGTTTACCCTTGGCTCACAACTGTTTCTTCTTACGTTCCTGTTCTGAACGCTTCCTAATATAAGAAAAACCAGGGAAAACTGCGCAGTTCGGCTTGGTTGGGGCACCCAGAAGCTTGCGCAGGTTACCTTGTCAAGAACCGTAAGTTTCTGTAAGCCGCCTCATATCAATCCTTTTGCTTCACACTGTACTACGCAAATAAAGCGATACGAGCATTAGCATCGGTCGGATATTTTGGGCGGGCGGGCGCGGTGGGCGCCCGTGTTATATGTTGCACCTTGGTAAGGCGTTCTAAGGGTACCTTCCGTGAAAAGGCGCTCACGGGCGTTAAGTTCTGTCCTGCTAAACGTATTAATCCTGAACGTCTTGGGAATTTATGATGCCACTTGCCTTTAAGCAGCGTTCATACTTTCGATAACGCGCTACGATGCGGTATGGCGCGCTTCACGCGCTACACTGTAGCCGCGCTTCAATATTATAGAAGAAAAC